AAAAACAGCAGTTCAAAAGTGCTGTCACAGCCACATCCAATTTTAGTTTTTGCTTGGATCTTATCCAACTTTGCTCCTGCAGAACTCCACAAGTTACTGCTCGCAGTCTGTACGTGTGCGACCTGTTGATTTATAAAGAACATTATTTCTCATGCTGAAAAACTAACAGTATAATAGAAATATCAACCACAGAAACCATTACCCCATAACGGTTTCTTCAACTGATATTTTTATCGTACTGATGGTTTTCAGCTAGACGATCCGGTTCATGTATAAGAAACATCGGAGGCGCTCATAAATGAGTATTCAACAACTGAATATTAATTCACCAATTTCTACAGGGCTCAGCGTTAAGAAGGGCGGCAAACCCTGCAGCAAAAGTTTTTAGTCTGGAAGCATAACCTACTAATCTTAAAGTCAGACAGTACATTTGAAGTTCTGAAATGATGCCAAAAAATAAATTGCTGTAACCTCTGTCACATTTGCCCAAATCAGGAACGTAGCTGATTATGAATAACGTAGGCAGCACAGACCCATTTTATGGAATACTCCGTGTAAAAATTAACACCTGAAGTTGGATTTCCTTAAGGTGGAATTCAAACTGTAACTTGTGGGTTTTGAGAAATGCTGCACAAAACTAATGTCTTTAACGGTCTCTCAAAAGATTATCCTGAGCTTGTAGCTGTACTCGAGATTCCAAGCGGCTTCTTCCAAAAAATCAAGAGCATTAGTACGCATAATTTTTGTTGTTATATGTCTTTTGTATAGGTCTTGGTTTCGAATCTGCAAAACTGAAAGAGAATTAGAGAAAGCGAGTTCCCTGTGAATACGTGGAAGCTTCTTCTATGCGACTTCACTCCTCTGACGATTTTCAACTTTGCCAGACTACGATTTTACATGAATTTGGTCTCTTGATAGCCATACGTTCTTGTTTAACCGCTGCGTACTCATAATCAAAGTCTAAAATTTCACAAAGGACACTTGGCATTAAAGTCAAAAACGTGGATCCAATTAGTACCAAGAAAGGCTGTATGCATTTGAGACCACTGTTCTGCCTTAAAAAAGTGCTTATATTCACAGCTGATCTTTTACAAACACACAATAATTTATGCATTTCATTATAGGTATTTTGCCGTTATTCTAAATTCTTATAAATAGACCAATTATGATGACTAAAAAAAGGTAAAATAATCTTCCTCTGGTATTTTCCGCTACAATTTAACAGCTATGGAGCAGCACCAAATATTCCTTATAAAAATCCAGGCACTCAAAAGTTTTCCAGCCGTCTCATACTAAAGCAGATTGTAGGGGCAAAAATGGCAGGATAAAAAAGCAGGTTAAAAATGCAACATTCTTCAAGCGATGTGAGACAACTGTAATTTATTGCTTTTAAGACAGTCCCGCAACCCCGCTGCGAGGATTAAGGACACAGGTGATGTAGATGGATAGAAGCTTGGTTGATTTCAAGTTTACTTGCAGTGCAGGCTTCTTATTTAATTTATTTGCCTCTCAATGCTTCTTTTAAACAGGTGATAAAATTTTTTAAGGTCTGATTCACCATTTTATGAGATAGCCAAAAAAGTGGACTTGCTGAAATCACAGAGGGGAATTTTTGGTAAAATCCGACTCGATGTCAGTATTGGTGTTGTAATTGGAGACTATCACTATAAGGTAGACATTATTTTCATTGTTATAAGCTGTCTTTTTGCATGAAAAATAAATTTTTGTTTCTCAAGATAGGGTTACTGATGTACAGATGGTGGAATTGAAATTTTAAGAAAACAGTGGCCGTAAGCCATAATGGACCATTTAAAAAGTTTCGCTTATCTCTTTTAAAAGAAGAAAAAAGTTCAACCTTTATTATTTCCAGATCTACGTTAATGATGTGCACGCTGGGGATGTCTTCAAAGAGTGCAATGGCAAACCGTGTAATCTTCCAAAACACCTAACAGTATGTTCACAGCGGTCCTTTCTGGTGAGGAACGCTAAAATAGTAGGCATCTTCACTGTCATGCTTAAAACCAAGCAGTATTCAGCAAAAATTGATTCTCTGAAGTAATACAGTCTATGCGTTGAAAAAGTCTCAAACAAGTAGCCATTCGCTCAGCAGTTTTAGTTGAACCTTTTGCAACGTAATGCAGTACTAAATTTTGAGCTTCTGCTAAATCTCTTTTTAAGAAAAAAGCTGAAAATACAACGAATGCAACGGAATAGACGTGTGTTACTTTTCATTCACATCTCCATTATTTGTTACGGTCAAGGTCCGAATCGTAATGTCTCAAACCAAAGCTTAAAAAATTTTTAAAATAAGTATTCCATTCATTATCAAAGGACTTTTTTTGCTGAATAGATGAAAATTTAATAAAGTAATTCTTTCTGTTTCTGAATTATCTAGTACCTTTAAGTGTAACAGACGCTTCTAGCTGTCTTTACTGATGAGTTTCTTTGAAAGCTTTATTTAGGGTATGGCAGAAAAAAACGTCCAAAATGCTCGTAAGCGCTGTATTGCGGCTCATGGAGACCTGCCGCCGTTTGATAAACTCATCGAAAAAGAGCTCCTCGACAGTAGGTGTAGGGACTTTTAACGGAAGGCTTGCTAATCTTTTGCTCATATTTAAGGTGCGAAAAAGGTATAGGCAATCTTGCGGTTTTAAGTTTGGTGATTATTCATGGAATTCACTCTTTTTCTAAAACATCATTCTCGTAATTTGCAAAAAGATATTTTTAATCTGCTTGCACAAAAACTAAGTGGTTTCGCTCTTGTATGCTTATTTAAAAAGTACGATGGCTCATAACTTTTTATTCCTCAGCACTTTTTTTTGTCAAACAACCAGGTGTTTTGGGATTTTAAAACAGTGTTGGGAGTGTACACAAAGTTTTCGCTTCTGAAGTTTCTGATATTGTTATGAGTCTTTTGCAGTAAAATCTTCTAATAGACCTCTAATTTTTGTTTGTTCCTTTGCTGAAAAAGTATTTAGGGGAATTATATACTCATTGTATGAGAACCATAAGTTAGAAGTGAAACAAAAGGAATTTTTCGTTTTTTGATAAACATACAAAAATTGCTTTCCTTATGGACGCAACGAACGACCTATTCGACTAAAAGCGTAACATGTTCTAAGAAGCTGATGTTTCCGGTTTTTCAAACTTTATTCATTAGTAGATTGTGGCATTCATTTTGCGAGACACAAAGGAAGGACGTAAAAAGAATTTTGCAGTAAGAGGATTTTCAGGTTACTGCGCAGAGAGGATTTTTTAGAAGTCAATAATGTTGTCACTTTCTTGAAGAACAGGGTGGTTCTAAATTTTTTTGGAGCCTCTTATTTCAAAATTTTATGCGTTTTATAAGTTCCACCGAAGAAGACTAAGATATGATAATATAAACTTTATTCGTTACATTCGACTGGACAATTTTTTTTGAATAACGTGTTTGCTGCAAGAACTTCAGAATATAGAGGATGTTCAAAGTGATATTTCTATCAGAAACCGCTTTGGTCGAAGCGTAACTAGTTGGAAGAGTAGTTCATACTAATACTTTGTCCTAGTCAAATTCTTCGACTGAGTGGTGTCTATAGAAGAAAGCCTAGTAGAAAATAACTGGTGCGCTGCACGCCAGTTTACGCACTTTGTTCTCCTTATAATTCATAATTTTTTCAAATTTTGCTAAATAGCGGAGCCTTTGTTGAAGCTTAAAAAGCAAAAAAGGGTCCTGGAGAGGCCAAGTTCTGAGGGTTATGGCTGCTGAATGTTGCAAGATTTGACAATTTGCTACCTGGCACGCAGGAAACAGCCCAATTAAGTTTTGATTAAGAAAAGTGCTTGAAATTTGGCTGTGTTATGAGATTGACACTATTTATTCTTTCTCATTATTTCAAATGTAAGGTCTGACTTTACACAAGTGCTTCTCAAAGTCTTCCCCCAATAATTGTTTACGTACTGGATTATTAAGGGGGTTAAAGCCTTTGTCTTCATATTTTTCTTTGGTTGGGTACCTGCATTATAAAACTTTGCTCTTGGCCGTTAGAACGTTTAGAGCAAAAGGCTTGCTTTTTTTGCAGCGCAGGTACTTTGATCAGTCTTTTGAAGAGAAAAAAAGGGTCTTTAGATCTGTCCATAGTGCTGACAACCAAAAAAGCAGTCACTTACGGTTAAGAACAGAAAAAGTTAAAAAAGCTCCTAGAAGAAATTTTAAAAACCTGGTTTGATGCGAGGATGAAAAGCCTAATCACAAATTTTACCAAGCGCTCATTAGTTTAAAGATTTGCTCTCCTCAGTACCGCTGCACGGCAGCTTTCTGGCTTTATGTCGGTTCCTTGCGTTAGTTGCAGCCTCCTTCACCGTCCTCCCCTCCCTAGCCCCCCCAATAAAGTGCCATTCATTTAAAGCGGCGGGGTGATCAAAGAAGTAAATTACCACAAATTAAACTAGCAATTATAACAAAGCCTTTTCTTAATTTTTGCATTACAGTTTTCGATTAGAATTCTCAGTATTTTTAGCGAGGGGGTCAGCAATGAATTTTCTGTAAATCACAGATTTCCTTTTTCGTTGATTAATAATACAGGAGAAACTTATTTTAAGGTTGATTTAGAATGGATGTACAGTACACGTTCGGCACCTTTTCCCACAGTTATTCAAACAGACGTTGTTGTACCTAATACGAAGAACATGAGCAATTGCGAGGTGATGGTGTCTCATCATGAAAACAAATACAGTCGAAATCGCATAAGTATTTGCGTTACTTAGTATTATAATCGCTTTTCAAAAAAAGATCAATGTTTTTACTCGCTCGTGTAACTGAAAACCTGTTAATTTAATAGATTATTGGTAATAGAGAAAAAGTTATGTAAAAAAGTTTAAGAGAAGTTTGTGTAAATTAAAGTCAAAAAGTCTTGAATGGTCTATTTTTTCGCAGTGCATTGAAAAAAATAAGTCTTTTAAATATTAGAATGTTGTATCCTCTAAATTTATAAATTTCTTCTTCAAAGATGTGACTTATTACACTTTTTAATCAAGGAATTACTAATTACTAATTGTTTCGTAAGTAGTTTACTTTTTGGATAAACGGTATTGGTTTCTTTTCAGCTTGGCGACTACCTCGAGACTGCTCTAAAAGAATACTTGGTTATACATGTCGAATCCCTACGGAGTCACCTAAAGTAACTGCACTTTACTATATTTATTTTTTGCCTTTTTGTTCAAAACCGGAGGTTTGCTATTTTTTTGACAAGATTTTTGCTCGGAGAGGTTACGTCTTTATTTTTCCACCGTAGTGACGTATTAGGGGCCTGTTTCATTTCATCTATAATGCTACCCTGGTATACTATTTTTTTATTTGAAATCATCTATGTGAAACAGCTGTCAAGCGTCTGAACAGTATTACTCAGTAAACCTGTAGATCAATTGCGGTGTAACTAATTAAAAAGGGATGGAGGATTAGTATGTTATAATGCATATCTTTTCTCTAGATCAGTATAATTTTTCTGTTTCAAAAATGTAAATTTTAGAGCATTGATGACAATCGCGTAACAGGTTAGTTTTTGCTTTTGTTAAAATAATGTTGTTAAGGGACTTCTTTTAACCTTGAGTTTCACGAGCGGCAAGATTAAAGAAACATTAGTTTTTATTTTAAGCTTTAGCATCTTTATAGACAGTGAAGAAAATTATTTGTCCGTCAACGTCTGAGCCGGGTATCTATAATGCTACCTTGGTATACTATCTTTGATATCATGACACTAAATATCTGTCAATCAGAATAGTTCAGAATTTTAAGCATTTTATTAGAACTAATAAAATGCGAATTTTAACAGCAAGTGTCGCCAAAAGGCTTCTTGGAATCAGCATTGCTTTTTTAACTGTGGTGTCCGTTTTGGCTTTTATCGGCGTTTTTCTACGCGTATTCCATTCTCTCGTTAGTTTTGCGGGTGAAGATATGGCAGTAGAGAAGAGGATTCCAAGTGCTGAAACTTCTCGACGGCTTTCATCTTATCCGAGATATGAGTTGTAGGTTGGTATCTTATTTAATAAATACGTGGCCCTTACCCTCCTTACTCTTATCTCAAGTGTGAAAATTGTTAGATGGTTTTTTCGTTACGGCAAAAGAAAAGGAGCAATAAAAGACCGTATTTTATCCTAATATTTGTAGAGTTTGTAAAGGGCGGCTGATACTTTTTCATCTATTTGGCTGCATTTCCCTTACTGGCTGCAGTGGCTACTGCAGTGAGATTTTTAAGAATGCAATTTGCGCTAAGGCGTTAAAATCATCACAAGTATTTTAGTGATGCACTGATATTTCACCAGCTTTACCCGTCTTACTTGTGAAGTTTTCAAACTGTGACACTTGTGCTTTTTCTGCACATGTTGACTTCAAGTAGGGAGTAAACGGTTTAGGGGATAGAGTGGGCTAAAGTTTTTTTGTAGGAGAGAACAAGTTGATTTTTTTTTACTGATATTGAAAGCATCTCTTTTTGATCAGCCCAGTTTTCAGGCTATATTGAAGCCATGCCATATGAAACTTTCAAATGGGACTTGAGAACTAATGATGGTTTGACTGTAAAAAACAGTGTCATTATAGGAACTGAACACTGCCCTAAAATCCGATGTCGAATATCCTGCATCATGATGAAGCATTTACTGCTTTGAAGTGCACTACTTCAAGGAATGATTTATCTAGTATATTTATTATGCTTCTTCACTGTACTTTTCCTTTTGCTTGATGATTTCAATTCTTGGGTAAAGAGGTTGAGATCAGGAGTTATTTTCAATAGGTTTAAAGGGTTTAACACAAAGTTGAAGGGCTGGAAAATTGCGCTAACGCTTTTTAAAGCAACGCAGCAGAAACGAAAGGATATAATTGCTTGACCTTACTGGGTGCCAAAAAATCGTAAATCTGTATGAAATCTTTATTTGAAATACGGTACTATGATTTTAAGAACTTTTTGTAACATTTTTCAAAGGCAACATTATTGAAAAATAGCTGTGGTAAATAAAATTTTTATTGAAAAAAAAAAGCAACATTAGCAAAGTGAATTCACAAATTCGTTTATTGTTTTTATTTTGGGAGTAAATGCTAATTCTGGATGAGTGGAACAGGATAAACAGCAAAATTATTTACTATGCTTTGTGGTTGCTTTTCTCCTGCGTCTTCGTAACCAAAAAGCAGTTTGGTCGGAAATCATAAGTTTCCTTATTACTTTGTGAAAATATCATCACCTCACATACGCACTTTTCTTCTGATTCTTCACGGAGAATGAGAACTATTTTATGATTACTTGTGGTTATTTATTCAGTTTTTCTGATTGATTCTTATACATTTCAGTTGAACTATCCATCGGACAGACTGGCTGAAATCTCTGTCAGTTTCATTTATTTTTCTACAGAGGGGATTTTGTTTGATTTGTGTACAACAGAAGGTATTTTCTTCACCGACGGAGTTCTTGCGCCTACATACTTTTTCTGCCGTTGAGTCAGCTATTTTGCTTCCTGATATTTTTCCTGTATGAAGTTTCACCTAAATGACTGGTTCTGAAGGAAAAAACTGTGCTAAAAGCTGCTCATTGGCTGCCAGGCTAAACCCCCGTTCAACATTAGCTTTTGTCCAAATTTAGAATAGTAATAGCGTGGATTTTCTTAAGGGTTAAACCTTCTCGCTAACTCACCGGTAGGTCAACGGCCTGGTACGCTTGACGTCGTAGCCTTGAATCTTTTGAGAAGTCCAAGCTTCGCTGGGATTGCAGGAACAAGAAATATGGAAGTGATTTTTAATATTGCGGTTGCATATAGTATCATCAGTTAATGTCACAAAAACGATTTAGTAGGAAAAAGTTTATGAAAATAAGAAGAATGGAATATGAAACTTATTCTCCAGACATACAGTAGGACGAAACAAGTGACGGCTGCAAGTAAGATCGGAGTAAACGTTAAAAAATAAAGCTATCAAAATCTTTTACATCCAAATGACAACGAGCATGTCGTCACATTTCCTGGCTGGAATCACAACCACTATGAGTTTCAGTTTTAAAAACAAATCTGCGATACTATTCGTTACAAATGCCGACCTTGGTAGCAGTATACTTTCTGACTTGGTTGTATCAACTGCTCACGATTACCGTCAATTTTATGATGTTATGACTGTCGAATAGGTCTTATTCGATGCTCGCATTACTCGTGCTGCCCAACCTGTTCCTCAACCAGAATTCATGGATAACCGTAAAAGTCGTTGTGAAGGGAGTTTTTTAAAACTCTTAATCTGGGAATGTCGATTAAAGGCTGGTAGCTGTTTTCCTTTTATCTCCTTTCCAACTTTTTTTCGGTTTGCTTTTCGATAAGTGGGGTGCAAAGTGACGCTGCGCCAAACTGTAATCATCAGAAAAAGGCAAACACAAAAACTATGAAGGTTTTTCCCAGGGAACATACTGTCTAGTGACCACCGAACAAGATTAGTGCTGATAGTGATGCTTGACGAGCTCCAGACCACTTCATTAAATGAAGTAAATGCTCTGCAGATTTTTCATGAGTAACTTAAGTTAGTTCTTTCACTCACATTAAGATTTAACCTCCCATTAATGATAAGCGTCGCAAATTTGTCGCTCGTTACGGTGGGCTCATTCAGCAACCGCATTGTTAATAGCTCTTCTTTCCTTTGGAGGTGTAAACTATTAGTTTATCTAATTGATTTGTTTTCTTCGTATACTCTCTCTCGTAACAAGTTTGCTACTAATTTTTATTTGAATTGAGCTTACATAGCTAGAGTTACCATTTGAGGAATGGTGGTCTGGTTGGTATTAAAAGCTAATTCATACTAAATACCATCAAAATCGTACATTGGAAGGACAAGATTACGGCGTGATACCTCAACCCTACATTTTAAAGAAACATCTTTTCTTTCAAACTACAAATACACAAAGAATAACCTTTCAAACGGGCAGTTACGGCATTAAAAACTGCATCAAAAAAGCGTCACCTTATTGAAGCATATATCAAGAAAGTAGGAAGTTTTAGAAAAATTTTTGCTTGTTTTTCACGGTGACTATCCACTTCACTTTACTCTCAAAACTGAGTTTGAGTTAAGTCTAAACTATTCTGTTTATGAAGTCTTCATGTCATTATTATATGATAAATATTACCTGCTTGGTGTAGTAGATAAATCAGAGCTAAGGAATTAGGTTTTGATGTATGAATGGTACATCTCACCATCACTTTAATAACAAGTATAGGAAGAACATACAAAAATGTTCTATTTGCTGTATGTAAGTTCTTAGACTCAAAAATGTAACAGCGTATTTCCAGTTTTAGTCGCAGTGTACAACTCAATAAAACGCAT